TTTATTTTTTAATGACAATTATTAATTATTATTTTATTTTAAATATTGATGATTTAATAAAAATATCAATCTTAAAAAAATACATTTATATTTACAAGTTGTACATAGTCATAAAGAATTATATGTACTTATTAATTTTAAATGATAATTATATTTTCTAATATAGTACATATTTTTTATTAATTGCATTTCAGCGATCTATTTGTATATTCAATGTAATGAATAGCTCTAATAATGTGTTAAAAAATATTGAAGAATATCAGCATAAATAGAAATACACTATAGCCTTGTAAAGTCTTGCGTAAAAGGGGGCAAGTGTCGATGATTCTTCTTGCTTTATCTCATTAAAATTATTAGATATAAAATTCTTATGATTTTTATGAGCAATTGTGTGATCGATGCTCCGGGCTCGTGCACATTTTGACAAGAGAAGTGGTTCGCAAGAAAGGAAAAGCGCAAGAACACGAAAAAGACACCCTTAATATAGTTAAAAGATGTAGATATGATATGTCGTCACACGTATGTCAAACTCAATGTGATGTTCCCTGCATGTTGAATGTTGATCGTCACGTATGTGGATTAGAGTCACAGAATGGTAGAATTGCGGGTTACTCAAGAATACGGATAATTAGCGATTAAATGAACTGCGATCGATTTTTCTTCCAATTTATTTTGTGGCGATTAGTGATTACAAGGCAATTTTGAGTGATTATGAAGAGTTGATTTGTCGATAATGCAAGGAAATTTCTGAGCCGAGATATTGCATTATTACATAAGATCTGAGAGAAAATGTATTCATGCAAGAAACTTATTTTTAATATTAAAAATAGTAAGACAAATCAGTTAAGTTGCAGTTTGCCAAAATTGAAATGTATAAAACATAAAGAACTGAATGCAAAAATAAAATGAATATAATTTATAATAAAGCTTGTAATTTGCTAAATCTATAATAGATATAATCTTATATTTAAAATCTTACTGATTACAAGAATACTTCATTCTTGCATTCTTTTATATCTATTAACAATTACAGATTTGTACATCATAAAAAATTATGTACTTGTAAATAGTATCATAATAGTTTAAACAAATGAATATATTAATATCTTTAAAGTACAATTCTAAAAATTTTTTGTTTTATTCTATTTTGTTTATTTATTCAACAAATGTTAAATAAAATTAATTTTTAATATAACGCACAAATTTGTACATGATAAAATTTTAATTTTACAAAGTATAACTTTCCTTAAATAAAAGAGCATTCTCTTAAACAAGCATAATATTTTACTAATTTAATAGCTTTAGGACTTTAATAACTTAACTTAATAATTTTATAATTTAAAAATTTTATTTTTTAAAAAATTCTTGATAGTAATTATAAAATATTTAAGAACAACTGTTGATGATAATATTCTCAATTTTTTAATTTTTATTCAAATAAAAGAATAATACTGATATTATCTCAGAAGTTTCTTATAATCGATAAATCAAAATTTTTATCATTAATAAGGCTATTTAAATTTTAAATAATAAATTCCCGCCATAGTATATAAATTTAGTCTCTCTTGTTTTTAAAAAGAAAGTACGAAAGTATCTTATATAACCTCTACAATGGTTTTTCGGGAAGGATTCTCTAAGAGATAAAATATAAAATTTTCTTTTGAGAGATGTTTTAAAAATATTAGTAATAGAGCTTGTGACATTTATCACGTCTATTTTAAAATCTTTTTTATTATCAAGTACATTGTATTTTGTATTTAATATATCTTTTGAAATGAAATGAAACGCCGAGCATCATTGCGCATATTCGGTAATATTAATAATTTCTAATTTTGAATTGATGGCAAATAGAATAAGAATTATAAGGCAAGAATAATAAAGAAAAAGGAGGCAGTGTAAATTAAATAATAACATAGCAATTAGAATAGACATTATTATTAACTTCTTTAGTCGGAAAAAAGTTGTATTTTTCCATATGTCGAAAGAGTGGGAGAGAGAAAGAGAGAGAAAGAAAAAGAGAAAGAAAGAGAATTTTATCATAGTACAACATTATATGTAATATTTTTCTCGAGAAAGTATAGGAAGGACCATCATATATCTTGCAAGATTGCAAATAGTTTCGATTAGCCAGCGGTTAAATTAGAACAATAGATAGATTATTAATAGCACAGTATGCTTCGTATTCCAGAATTAATTTTTTAAAGATCAAAATCGAATTATGTGTTTGGTCATGTTAAACACGTGATATGAAATAACATATAAGAATAAGGAGTGCCAGATTGACAGAATGTACAAATTGATTGCAAAATATTTGTAACATAAAGAAACAAAGAGAAGAAAACGAAGACATCAGATAAGTGATTTGCTCCTCGTTAAAATTTTGGCAACGATTTTATCAGTCACAAATTCTTTACATAAAACTCGAAATTCTAAATTTAAATTTGTTTCCATACAAATTTTGACCGCGTTATTGTTTCTCATTTAATGATATTACAATTTAATGAATTACTCCTTGCTTTTATATGTTGGACGTCACAAATATTGATGAAACGTAGTAAAGAGTGCAGGCTTATAGAATTAAAATTTTAAATTTTTGTTAAAAACAAAAAAAATGTTTAAACATTTTTCGTGTAACGTATATTTAAGATATGCGGAAATATTCTTTGAAGTAGCGATTTAGGCCTATTCGTTTTCATCGCTCCCTTTTCCCCTATCTAAAGGCCGAATACTCTTATTTCATTTTGGAGTGCAAAAGGTGCAGATAGAACGACTAGACCTAATGGCGACGATGAATTTGAAAAATTATTAATTTTCTTAGCATGCACAATACGCGCGTGTGTGTAGGCGTGCGTCGTACAAGCTTTTGAGTTTTTCATCATTTACTCGAAGAAATTTGTAAATGTATGTAAACCTCTTCCAATTTTACATTGATCCTTTTTCCGTCGCACACGTGCAAACACGCGCACGGAGATACACCACACATACATGCACACACAACACGCGCGCAAAAGAGAGCTGTATGTATAAAACAGACGTTAGATAATTAAGAATATGAAGGAAGTGAGATCGAATTGCTGCTCGTTCTTGTAATTATCAGAGACATATTTTGTTCTCATGTAAAGCACACACATACACACACACACACACACACACACACACACACACACACACACACACACAACAAATAA